ATATTGGGTCCTCGTTTGTGGCATCCTTTCAGTTGGGAACTAATTTCCTGTTCTGTCTTCCACTCTTTCCTGTCCTCGTTCCACATGTGAGCGACTTTCCATATGCCGTTTTTTGACCCAGGAGAGCCATCTGTGTTCTAAGAAAAGGGGGTTGTCGCCCTCATTTGTCACCCATTGCTTCCCGAAGAGCGGTTGCCTTAGTACTTCATCCTTAGATCTAGGTCTGTTGGACTTGTTAGGGATTATTTTTCTCCAGATTCGAAGTAGCGACGTCCAGTATGGAGTATCAGGCCTATAGCCCTCTAGTCTGGCGTCCCTCGTTCGATTTCTTCTGCCCGTGCCTATGATCCAGTCTTTATTCATCCACGAAACAAAGAAAGGTATGTCACATTAAAATTTAGTGAGTTCGAGAGCACGTTTTCTACAGACTATAGGTTCACACCCCATCACAAGCCAGCAAAACATCCACGAAACAAAGAAAGGTATGTCACAGCCAAAAAATACACTCCAGACACGCCGCTAGCACTAGAGGCACAGCATGGCCGCCTAGTAACGGCCCCGACCACTGCCGCTCGACCTGACCGGAAAAAACCGTAGCAGGAAGCTAGCGAAGTCGTAGCATATATCGTCACAAACAGAACTACCCGGTAAGCCGTAGGCAGAGAGAGAGAAGAGGACAACAAACGAGGGGCTGTGACAAACTGTTTCGTTCTGCCTACGGTTTACCGGGCAGTTCTGTTTGTGACAATATATGCTACGACTTCGGTAGCTTCCTGCTACGGTTTTTTCCGGTCAGGTCCAGCGGCAGTGGTCGGGGCCGTTACTGGGCAGCCATGCTGTGCCTAGTGCCAGCGGCGTGTCTGGAGTGTATTTTTTGGCTATGACATACCTTTCTTTGTTTCGTGGATGTTTTGCTGGCTTGTGATGGGGTGTGAACCGATAGTCTGTAGAGTTTTCCGTCTGGTGTGAGTGAGCGATAGTCTATATATATATATACAGGGTAACTGGCGTTCGGGACGGGCCGAACGCCCGAACCCGAACGCCCAAACGTATGGGACCCCTTGGGGATGCGTTCGACCGTTCGGGCCGAACGCGGACCCAAAAAAAAAAAAAAAAAAAAAAAAAAAAAGGTCATCAAAAAATCCTGAAAAAAAGATATGTTATGGAAAAAAATAAATTAAACAAGATTTTTATGAGCATTACATCCGAATTCCTTACCAAATTTGAAATAAAAATAAAATACAGAAAACAAATACTAATAATAAAAATAAATATAAATAAAAAGAGAATTAAATTTAGTGAGTGCGAGAGCATGTTTTCGACACCGCCATCTTTGGCGATTTTTCATTTTTTTTTGGCATAGCTAAATGCCCTGAAAATTTACAGATGTGTACATCACATAATATAAAACCCACTAAAAAAGTTTCAAA